GTTCATCCTGGGCCCAGCAGGAGTAAAGGCATTGAATATAAATTCTTTGCGTTCGTCCCACCATTTCAACCAGGATACCAAGCACTGCCGCTCTGTCGAGTTGGCTTCAATAAAGTCATCGAGTTCTTTCCTGGTAGCGGAAACCCATCTTCAGTCTGAGCTTGTAGCATCGCCTCACACTTCTTAAATTCTTCAGCACTTTCCGCGTCAATAAGTCTTGCCCTTCTATTCACGTTTTGCTTATAGTGAAATTCGCATGTTTTAACTCGTTCGAGAGCTTCATTTCCAAAAATGTCTTTTATGCCAATCAGATTTGCTCCCGCCATATCTGTGCACCATCCTATAGGATTAAAGCTCAGGGGCCGGTTGTATCAAAGGCGTTTAACTTAAACGGTGTTTAGCCGCTATCCAGCGTATAAATTTCTTATCCAGCGGATAGTTAAACGGCCGATAAAATTGCGTTGTACGAAGCACGTTTAGTACCGCGTTTAACTATCCGTAGGATAACCTTTAATTTAACCGGAGAAAACCGGATTTTCTTGAAATTTCTTACCTCTACTTCAGCTGTTGCTAGGCCTTTGTAAACTTTTGAAGCTTTATCTAACTTGTGAATTCCACTAAGCTTTTGCAATAAAGTTTGTTGTTATTTTTATTTGGAGTTTGCTCGTCCATTCGTTGCTGCAAATCTATATCAAACTTTTCATTTTCACATTGTGCTGAGTTTCTCATTCACTTAAATTCACTTACGGATATTTCTTTAAAGATTTTTGGCTTCTTTATGCGAAGAGTCGAAAGCAATAGCAAAAACTGTGAGTTGTATTTGGCTTTTGTCAGTTGATTCAGTTTTATACTGTTTGAAATTTGTTTCTCGACCTTGCACTTTTGTTCAAAACAATTTTAAGAACATTTTGTCCCCAGTAGCGTAGCCAGCCAGACGATTTAGTCCCGCTATGCAAATATTTTCGTGTTCATTGACTGTGAAAACAATCAATTTCTAAAGAAATGAATAATGATAATAATTTTGCATAGCGGGACTAAATAGTCAGGCTGGCTACGCCACTGTTTGTCCCAAGTTTTGATTGGCTGATCAAAGCGATTAACGCGAGCGAACAATTTTTTTTCGACTTTCGGCGTCTTGTTGTCTATTTTGTATACTTGTTGGCTCTCCAAAGTCATTGTTTGTTTTACAATAGCTAAAATTGGGAGTCTTACTGCTTGTTTTCAAACTATATAATAGAAGAAAAGAAAGAGAAAAAGGCAGAGTATATGTACTTAACATTTAAACATGCAGACACTGCATGGTGTGCGCAAATAGCAAAACCACGGAATTACAAGTGAGCAATTGACCTCAGTGTACCTCAAGACCAAGCCAGTTAAAAGTGAGTTTTTCATGTTTATTGGATTTAAAAAGATGAGTTATCTCTACATGATTGTGCATTTTTATAACTATCCCATGCTTTTTCATCCGAAATAATCATTGATTTATCTTCAAACTCCAAGTTTATTCGCCTTATAGCGATTTAAACGGTCTCAAGAGACCGTATAAGTTTACACGGTGGATAGGCAAAATTTAACCGGTGGATAGCCCTAAACGGGCTTGATACAACGCGATTTCTCGAGCGTTTAAATTTTATCCGGCGGATAGCGAGTTAAACGGTGGTTAGCGAGTTAAACGCCTTTGATACAACCAGCCCCAGGTTGCTTCCTGGTATCTCCTTGCGGAATGCTTCTTTGAATAATTTCCAAAACAGAGAAATGCAAAGCGAATTCTCACCTTCCGTTTCCACCAATGGAATTTGCTTTTTTTTAGGAGCGGGTGATAAACACTTGCCGTTAACGTGGTGAAATTTCTGCAGCGTTGTTGTTCCCCATCGAAGAAACAATATTCTTCGCTGAGGAAATGATCTCCGTCTTTGTCCATGTGATGAGCCATTTGTAGCTTGGTTGAACTTGATTTGAAAACAAACGTTGGCAAATCAGGATTCCCCCTTGAATCGTTTATTTTGTATACATAGAATTCATTCTTTCTGTCACAGAAATTCTTGAATGTCACAAGTCCTACAAAATTCTCTCCTAAAGGATTCACCTCCTTCCGAAAAGTAGCTTTTTGGTTTTCAATCCACTTTCTATCAACGAGCTGACTGGCTTGCGCATCAATCTTGCTCCAGCCCTGTTCACTTCACAGAGAAGACACAAGAAGAGCAGACTGAATATCTGAAGGTTTTAAATTGGGATTTTTTTTAAACATTTCCTTCACGGTTTCCACTGGTTTTTCTGGACTTTCACTGCGAACAGGGCATGTGTGAAGTCCACAGTGGAAAATGTTTAGCTTAGTTTGTTTTATCTGGATGTAACCCCTAGCTGGACAATAAATAAGATCTGCATGCGTTCCACAAGCGGTACATGTATTATCCTTGTTAAATTGCAGCTTATTGATAACACCGTATTCTTTTTTATACGGGCAATTTTTATTGTTGCAGATTCTAGAGCCACGACAATTTGCGAAACGCATACGCCCATAGCCAGCCCAACTTGTTGTCGAGTCTTTCGACCAACGCCTTCCGTCCGAAGACAATACTTTGCGGCGAGTTTTAGTGTCTGGTACATTACGTATTGTAAAAGACGCTAACCCGTCGAGTCCACAGGGTAACTCTTTCACCTCCTTTCGACGTATGCCATTCCAAAGCTCTTGACTAAATTTCCTCTTCTTCTTGGTAGATCTTACGTCACAATAAGTGTCATCCCAAGTCCCAACTCTCATCACTCGAACTTGTTGAAGACGTTGAACTTCTTCTTGATTTTACTTGTCTACTAATTGTAAAAAAAATCAAACAGTTTGTTTTGTAGCTACATATCTGTTATGTAACAGATTTCACAATCAGTTGAAATACAATCAGCTTATCGCCATGGCCCCACTTGGCCCCTCAGCCTCGTTTTCGTGTTTAGGCTTATTCTGGCACATTTAATAGGCAAAAGCCAAAATTCTTTTTTTGCATGTGTTGAAGAAGGATGTTCTGCTCCTCTGACCGTAGCCCGTGAGAAACAAACTTAAAATCCACTCCATTCAAGGCGGTCCTAAGTTGAAAACAGTGTAGTCGTGATGTAATTACTGGATAGGTCTATTATTTACCTTTTGGGGGAGATGTTAGCAGTAAGATCAATGACACATGGCATGTAACAGAGAAGGAGAAACAAGATGTGAGATATATAGCACGGGACATGAATAATATGAGATGGAGGGAAACTAGAAAGCAATATAACTCATTAGTATTTTTGCACAAGTGAATATAACATATCCTACACATTGATTGTTCAAATTTGACTGTATTAATTAAACTGTTACATTGGAAAACGAAATTTTCAAAATAGCGGCTAGCCGTTTTGTGGAAGTTACTGATAAAGAAATAAGCGAAATAATTATAAATTTAAAAACACAAAATACTAAAACAATTATTCTTCTCAGGCTTGGTGATTATCGGGGAATAGTCACCTCGACTTCGTCTCGGCGAATACTCCCCGATAATCACTTCGCCTTCGGCGAATAATTGTTAAATATCAATAGATATATGATTATTGATTAGTTCTAATTCGTTCCACATAGTACAGCTAAGCTGTACTATGTGGAACGAATTTATTTAGGACTAATAACAGCTATTGATCATGTGTCATCTACTAGGTTAAGTGAGGAGTGATTAATAACCTGTGATGAACTGGATTCTCCTATATTCGCTTTTGTTTCCTGATGCCTGGTAATTCGACTGCGATTGACAGCGTCCTATTAAATAAACGAAAAAGTGTTTGAATAACTATCAAGATGAACTTTATTCAAACCATAAGTACTCGAAGAGATTATTTGAATTGGTAAACTCGTAAGAGTCCAAACTGTATTTGTTTAATATGGGTGCATGTGAGTGTTTCCAGAATCTAACAACGCGCAGTTTTGCCGTTTAACACATAACAGTCTCGTTTTTATGGTCTTTCAGTGATTTTCTAATTCATTTCCACAACTTACTGTTAGGCGGTTATATGATTAAATGCAACTGTATACCTCTATGTTCCTTTCGTCTTCACTGGATTCTGTCGTCAGATATTCTAAACCAACCAATAAAATTTTTGGAGTCATTTAGGTTTGCATATACTTTAGTCTTTGCTTGTATTTTAATTAATTGGGAAAATCGCACTTAGATGTCGACTTAAATCCGTCTCAAATTGACATTTGGGTATATAAAATATACAAAAAAGTGTTAGTTAAATTTTCCGACCCTCATCCGAGAGAAAGGTAAGCATAATAGTTCCTTCATGTAAATGAGACAACTAGTAATCTAATGGCAAATACTTTCATTATTTTGTGATGCAGAGTCAAACTTTACAGCAGCAAACATTTTCACATGCGTTAAAAGAAGACTAGACAATAATGTTATGGACTTATTTCTCTCAAGTTACCTTGATCTTCCGCTGACGACTTCAGGCTAAGCTTTCTACTATATGAAGGAGAAGGCATATTGGTATTCTGATATATTTTATTAAGAAGAAATAAGGCTTAAAGCTTTTATTATAACAGATTTATTATAATAGAATGAGCATAAAAGAATAGCAAAAATACTGAAACAATTATTTGCCACATGCTCCCTGATTATCGGGGAGTAATTGTTAAATGTTCTTCATATGGCGCGGTACAGAATGTTACTATACTGTAATAGTTTCCCATTGAAGGATTTTCAGCCGATTGTTGTTCGCCACATGATATAAAATTCAAACTAGTACAAGCAATACTGCTCGTATATAATACAGTGTATATTATTTACCGGCTTAACGACGTTTTCCGGCTTTTCCCCTTTTGTGGTTCAGAAACCTATTGAAGAAGTATTATGGTCTATTAGTGTTGAATATTATGAATTCGAAATTGACATACATTTGCTCAGATTAGTATATAGGTAATAAATTATATGCTGTTGTACACTAGTTCATAACGCCCAATAAGTAATATTGCGAAGTCCATATACCGCAACAGCCGACTTACTTTCTTCCAAAATGAACCATGAGTTGTGGCAATTACTGAACTGCCTGGACAAAACTCCTCTTCGTCCCATGAATCAAATTCCCGCGGTTTTCCCTATCAGTGAAAAGAGTTCATTATACACAAGAAAAAAAGCTTGCAATTATGTAAATACAATCCATATACTTACCTTTCCTTTTCGTGGTTTCACCTCAACATCTTGCTATACGAAACGCATTATGGACGGACTCCCTTCTGTGGTAGTACTTCCATCATGCTATATTGTTTTAAATTGTGCAAAGTTTTAACATTATTTGTGGCGAAATTTCTTACATGATAATATTAAATTATACTTACAGAATGTGTTTTATCCATAGGCATAGCTGACTTTTCTTTGGTTGGGGACATGGTTAAATCAACCACATCGACTGAAACCGCGTATGCCTATCCATGTGACAAATATTGTTATCAGAAAAATTATTGCACACCTAATTTTTGATGAATCCAGACATATTATATAAATTGATCATTTCGCCAATTAGAAAAGCTCACGAAATGCAACACTTAAAATTAAGGCCGAGACACATCACCGGTTCAACAACGCGGTGCGATTTTTCGATTTTCCCTGACCGATAACTTTGACCTACCCTATAGTACCCTGGATTCCAGAGCCTTGGCAGTAAATAATAAATTGAAACGTCGTTAAGGTTCTGGTTGAACGGGAGGATTCTTTGATTAAACCGCGCCAATCACAAAACAGAATTAGTGCTTTTAGTACAGATTCTGTACTAAAAGCACTAATTCTGTTTTGTGATTGGGGCGGTTTAATCAAAGAATCCTCCCGTTGAACCAGAGCCTGCACGACGTTTCAATTTATTATTTACTGAAGGCTCTGGAATCCAAGGTAACTTTGACCCTGCAGGGTAACTTTGACCCTGATATGTCCATAATAACTAGAAGCGCTATACTACATTTTCAGTTTTTGGTCTACATTTCATTTTGAGTTTTTTGGTCTAAAAATTTCCTTTCATTGGCAATGTCATTGGCTGTTTTATTTACTTTCAAATACTGATAAATCGCGCCGCGTTGTGCTTAAAGTACTATTTAAAAAACGAGCAGGAGTGTTTTATTAGGTTTAAAGCCACGAGCGCGCAGCGCGAGTGGCGTTAGACCTAATAAAACACGACCTGCGAGTTTTTTAAATGGCTTCAAACACTCATTAATAATTCAGGAGCAAAACGCAAAGAAAAATCATAAGCGTGTCGTGGTTTTATATGTGATAGAAAATCACGTTAATTTACATAAACTTTAGCTTTGATTTTCTCGGTTTAGACAAAGTTTATTTTAAAAATTACTTCGCCAATGAACTCGTATAAGATGTACGCGTCGTGTTTTATATGTGATAAAACACGACTACAAGTGCTTTAAATATAAGTACTTCAAAAACGTTTGCATAATAAGTCAAATCTTTATATAAAAATCTTTATATAAAAATCTTTATATAAAAATCTTTATATAGTTTGCATAACAATGGTCTTTTGTTAAAGTGTTCTTTAGCTGGTATAAAGACGTATGCACGTGACTAATTTCTTACTCAAGATTGGATAATTGCTTCATGAATTATTAATGAGTTTTTGAAGCTTTGCCGTTACACGTGCATATATGGATCTTCAATCCTCTACAGATACCCATGTGTGATGTGTCTGGCATGACTGCACTAGCACATTATTATTATTATTATAATTATTATTATTATTATTATTATTATTATTATTATTATTATTATTATTATTATTATTATTATTATTATTATTATTATTATTATTATTATTATTACGCTTTCATTCAAACTTTTAGCTCAGTCTTGGCCGCAACGAAGAATTTCGACTCAAATA